ATCATCTCCTCATTATAAGTTAACTTCTATACTCTGGTTATATATAACCAGACTTATAATTAGGAGATGATGTTAACTTCTATACTCTGGTTATATATAAACAGTCTTATAATGAGAACATGATGTTAATTTCTAGACTGGTTATATTTTAAATATGTATAATGAGGACATGATGTTAACCTCTAGACTCTGGTTATATATAAATAGACTTATAACGAGGACATGACGTGAACTTCTATAATCTGGTTATATATAAACACACTGGTTATATTTTAACAGACTCATAATGAGGACATGATGTTAACTTCTATACTCTGGTTATATGTAAACAGACTCATAATGAGGAGATGATGTTAACTTCTTCAGTCTGGTTACCTTTTAACAGACTTATAATGAAAAAAAATGATGTAACTTTCATCAACCTGGTTACATTTAAGCTGACAACTTATAATGAGAAAATGATATAAACTTCCTCGGTCTGGTTGTTTGAAGATGATTGATAACGAGAAAATTTGTAAACCTCGTGAGTATGATTATGTTTAAAATGCAGATTTGTTTTGAAAACAAAAATACAAGCTAGGTCTACCTGATTAACTTCAAATTTTTGATTGACTGTTGTCTCCCATAATCCGGTTAATCTTTTTGGCTAATATTTCTGCCATAATCTGGTTATATTCTCAATGGCGACTGGCCAATTATTGTTGGTATAATCCTATTACCTTCGTAATACTTTACGATCTGTGTAAGTTCACATAGTCGACATAGTGCTTCTACTATAATTTGACCATGTTGGTTCACGTTAGTAACTTATTATGTAACCCAGTCATTGCGTTTGCATTATGAACTATTATTGCTCCATGACTTGTGTGAGTTTTGCATTACTAACTAGTTGCTATTGGTGCGTAATTTGGCCACATTATTGTTACCGAAGTCTAATTGTTGTTGTTGTTGTTTTAGTGCAAAACTACACACGGGGTTAGCTGCGGTTATCGAACCCACACATTCAAGCGAAATAAGGCCTTAAGCTTACCACTGAGCCACCGGGAAATGCAGTTTTAATTTAATATTTCTACCACAGATATTTCTGTCATGTGACAATGTTGATGTTCTTCCTGTTAAATTACAAACGAAGTTAACGATCAAAGAAGTGAAACATTAAGTATTACGTAGATATGTTTTAAGAAAAGTGCTTACTTAACACATAGAAGATTCAGGAATCGCAACACTTGCGGATAACAGTTATTTCCACATATTTTGGTTGAATTTAATTTGATATTTAGAGAGCAATATATGAAAATATCAGTGACTCAACGGTAAATCTGAAGACTGATAACGCTAAAAACCGGGTTTCGATACCCTCGGTGGGCACAGAAAGCCCATTGTTTAAGTTATTAACAAACAAACTTTTACGACACAGTTAATACTCCAGTGGTACAAATGAATAACAAAAATTTGTAGTTACGAGTTTTTGAAACAAAAAAAATTATAAGACAAAAAATTCGAGCTGTGCAGTCATTGGGAACTTATGCACGAGGACTTTTTTGTTTTTTAGTAGATAAAGATCAAAGAAATGAAAAAAATACGCAAATCAAATCATATGTGCATATGATTTATCATTTATTTATTTAAAGTTATATCTGTTACAACCAACTTCTACCATACTTTACTAACATTATACTGACCCTAAAAGATAAATCACAATAATTTTCAAGAATACTATGGAAACAAAAACGATAACAGCTACGTACAAACATCAAGATACGTTATGGTCATCTTATACATTGTTTACCAATTCGTCGAATTCCAATAACAGTCGTAGTTACAGTGAAATATTTTACACAATCATTTCACCAGAAAGGGTTTTTCAAAAACAATGTTTAACTTAATTACAAGAATATCTGTATAAATAAATAAATATATGTACATATACACAATATCTATATCGTGCATATAATGTTACCCATATAAATATACACACACGAGAATAACCGTATCAGTATCTATATATACACAATAATATTCGTATTAATGAAAACACAACAGTATCCCTATCAATACGTACTTAATAATATCTACATCAATACAAACAGATATTTTTGTATCAGTACATACACAACAACATCCGTATAAGTACGTACACAACAACATCCGTATCAATACATACACAAGAAAATCTGCATTTAATATAAATACAACAATATTTTAAATAACTTTGCTTTCAAACAAATATATGCGTTTAATTTATCATAATATAACATTTATGTTGTGTTCAAAACACAACAATGATTACTAAGAGTTTAAATGTGGAATATTAGTAGGTTTGATTTAAAAACATATACTCTTGTCAAATATTACTCAGAGGTTGTAGGTCACGCTATACATTGCGCTGCACACTTTGAGTATGTGATGTGGCCCATCAAGCATGCTCAGTAAGAATACGACGTGAATATCAATACAGAGACACGTCAGATATGTATATTAGTAATGTTGAAATTTGTGCAAGATGCCAAAACGATGTGAATTTGGGAGAGGAATGATTATAGGTTGCTAGAAGCGTTAAAAGTCGATATGTTTTGTTTGAAGTTAAGCACAAAGCTACACCATGGGCTATTTGTGCTCTGCCCACCACGGGTATTGAAATCCGATTTCTAGCGTTGTAAGTCCGAAGACATACCGCTGTGCCACTGGGAGGCTAGTCGATATGTAAAATAGCTACAATTCTTAATTTTGGACAATACATCCTGTAAAACACTATTAAACAGTGTAACGAACTTCATGATACAACGTTTAAAACCAGTTAAGTCAGTCGAAAATGCTGTCAAAGTATGACAAGTATTCACTTATTAGAAATGCAAATAACTGCCGAAAATCACTTGAAAGAGTCCATTCAGCGTGCTTTCCGTGAGCGAGAATATTCTAAGAAAAACCGTACATCACACTTAAAAAAGTTTGGTTCCTTTAGGTAAACAAATCTCGCCACTGAGTCTTGACGATTGATTGCAGTAATGGGTCATGAACTGTGAATACTCAAATTTACAGCCTGGGAACGCTAACCACGAGGTCATCTCAGCCAAGAAAGAATGAACGTTCCATCAATAAACATTATCTCTCTCTACCTGATTAGAAATGGTTCTAATCGTCAGTACTTGTTGATTCCTTCAACGTAAGGTGTTTATTTGTCTGCTGTTAACCTATCATCAGGAACATGAAATTTGGTACATTTATCCTCTATATAAATTTCGTTTCAGTCTTTTAATTTCACTGCCAAATTTTACGAGATCCTCATTTTAAGTAAAGCATACAAAATATTTTATTGCACGTTAATTTCCCCTTGAGAAGAAAAAAACATTTTAAGGGATTTACGATTTTGAGCGAAACTGTAAGTTTTAATTTTATTTTGAAAAGAAAATTTAAGCTTCTATGAAACTTGTTTAACGTTAAAGTCCCAAGAGATATATAGCTTATAATATTATGTCATTATCACTACATCTCCTAATTTGTCTAAACTGTAAGAAATAAATTGTCTCTAACCGGAACCCTAAGTACTTTGTTAATGTGGCAACATTTGGAATTGAAAAGTCTAAATGAAAGTACAGTTTCTGTTTTACTTTCTTTTAGCATAGCTATTAAACATACAAAAAATATACTTGGCTGTTTACTGTCACAAAAAGAATAGCAAGTATTCCCTTAAAAATTAGATTTTCTGCTGTAGTTTAAGAACCTGAGTTGACGTTCCACATTTCTGTCAATTTTAGATATGTAGTAATTCGAGGATAAGGAATTTCCTAACTTATAGTGAAAAATATAGTCATACAAGTAACAATTTAAATATTTTGTAACTGAAGTAAACAGAACTGGCTGTATATACACCTTTGTGCAATTTAACTTATATAATAATAATATTATGTTAGATATAACAATATAACTTCGTGGAGTCCATTTACTCTCGTCGTAAAAAAGGAAATAATTATTTACATCTTTATATATAACATTGAAATGGGTACACGGTCAATTACAACAAGGAAAGTACTCTTCTCATTTAAAACGTGATGATTTAAAAATGATTTCACACTGAATTTTTTTATTTACATAATCGCTTTTAAATGGAATGAATAAAAGAGGTGTACGTAAAATTTGACTTTGACTTATATATTAATTAGGTCCTCATTCCACACCTACCACACTTCAAAACTACAAGCTTTTTGGCTGATTAAGCAAACCTCATTATTAGAGAAAATGAAATTGGTCACACATGTACATATCTTAATAATTATATTCATTTCACGAAGAAACGAAATGTCTTAACAAAAAGGGAAGCAGTTATTATAAGATGTCTTCTTGAGAAACGATAAAACTTGTAGAAGTTTCGTTTGTCGTTTAATTTGTTTATAATACTGTCTTAGTGAATTCTATTTTTAGTAAACAATTTTACATTCATAACCTTCCCTCTTCCATACCACTTTTTCAATTAAACTTGGAAGGCTGCATTATTTTTTTATCAAACACATGTAGTGGAATTGTGTTTTATAGGATGTAGCGACGTCCAATGAGCTCACCATACTGAACACTTTTTTTGGGGATTCATTCGACTCCCACTAGGGCAGTTGTAGGCTCGAGCGAAGTCGTACGAATTCGACAAGGGCCCAAGAACCCTAAAAAAAGCAAATCAAATTCATTATGTAAAAATCACACAAAGCAAAATCGTTGTTAATAGCTTATAACCAAAGATTACAATTAAAACAGACCATCAAAAATGCAGGTTTGTTTCAAATATGCTGTTTTCTTTTCAGTACAAGGCATTTTACACCGAAAGACTTGATGTCTCGTAAACGACTGATATAAATAGCGTTTCAAGTAAGATTTTTTTTTTAGCTAAACCGACCCACCACAGTAAACTTTATATGAAACATTATTAAACACTCTTTCTTCTGAAAACCTCTAACAGGTGTGTGTTATTGTTCTTATAGCAAAGCCCCATCGGGCTATCTGCTGCGTCCACCGAGGGGAATCGAACCCCTGATTTTAGCGTTGTAAATCCGAAGACTTACCGCTGTTCCAGCGGGTGACAACCCCTAATGGGCCAGTATAAAATGATGTGATTTAAATGATTACCAATTTCATCGTGATGCAGTATCACATGCTTTACTTACATTCATAGGATGTTTAAATTCCTAGAAAAGAAACTATGATCACAAACATTAACAAGGAAAGCTGTAATGACCCAACGTTGAATTATAAGAATAAATAAGATTCCTTTAAGATTCTGTTGCAGCAACTGTTCTTCTTTGGCTTAAGCTGAACATGTTCTGCCAAGTGAGTTCCCAAGAATACATGCACGAATAACGTGACTTGAGAAATCTTTTGAAACACGTAACAAAATACAGGTTTACCTTATTGGCCCTGGACTGTGAACGGATGATCGGATCTTGCTAAGTGAGTCCTCTGGCCTCATAGTTCCACACCAGATCTAGTACACAGAAAACACGTAAGTTATGGCAATACCTCAACTTTCATCAAATTTTCTTTTATTTGTGAAGCAAAAATTCAAGGTCAAATATTACAAATTTTCCATTAAAAATTAAGTGTAAGGTAATCAACCAATCAGTAATATGCTATAGGGTAAGTCAATAGATTCAAATCATTTATAAGATTTGTTTGTGCTATATTTCAGATACAAGACGATGGAGTAAAATAGAACGATGCGGTCCGGTCTACACTAAGACCTGAAATGGAACATACGATCACAGATATCAAAGCAACGTGAGTTGCAAAGTATCTTAGCTTTGAATGTTCGACATGAAAAAGAAGCGAGTTTTTTTCTGTATGACGTATGCTGTGTTATGTCAAGCATACACGAATTATGAAACCTAAAGAGAGCGCATGAAATTAACATTAGTTTTTAAGTAACATAGTAATTACTGAAGTAAATAACTCATTATACAAGTAAGAATGACTTAAGCTCCAGAAAAACTTTATTTTATCGACGTTTCGGCTTAAGCCTTCTTCTGAGAAAGTTTTTCAGCATTTGAAGACGCTTGAGTACAAATAGTATTACTTGTGTTGCTAGACTTGTTAGTACAGTTAGTATTACTTATTATCAAACCAATCTATTTATTACTTGTGCAGAAATCACTTCAACATGAGAATATCACAGTATAGATAGCAAGGAGACATTCTGGTGCTGTGACCATAGGATTATTGCAGTATTCTGACTTTTCTAACGTGTGCATTAGTCCTTGATTATACGAGTTTAAAGGAATGCTTCAAATTAAATTAATGTTTTTTTCTCAAAGTACACAAGACCAAGAGGGAGAATTTGCCTCCAAAGAGAGAAACGGTTGCATAAGAGATAACCTAAGAGTCCTGTAGAGACCTTCTCAAGAGGTCTCAGACTCATCAGGTGTCATTCCCACCTAGACAACTCTCAACTGTTCTCGTTTCTCCTGTGCTGAGATCAGTCGTCAAAGGCAAGGTTTGGTTGACTGGTCTGGGTACTCCAAATATCAGTTGACCATTTTGAGTCTACAGCTATAGACTGACCAATGTCAGGAAGCTTTGAAGTATCAGTGAAAGTCCTATGTCCAGAAACAGGACTTCTCCTGTGTTTGATATCTCAGACAAGTGGGTTGTATTCTCATAGGGGAGGACCATACACCACATCAACAAAGATTGACATTTGCAGCCTGTTTGGCAAACCGCCTATAAAAGCAGGAACTTAACCTCTTGCCCTTGTGTTCTCATAGGTATGTATCAAGCTCCATACAGCCCTGAGAGAGCTGGGATGACCACTAGATTCTTCAGTGCAAGCAATTAACTGTGTTTCCCCAGGATGCATTAGTTTCAGAAAATTTTTGACAGTTTCCACTGCTTATTGGTGGTTGTCCTGGATCTGCTGAGTCATCAGATCTTCTTTCACCACTCCTTTAAACATCTAGAGCAAATACATATTTCACTCACAGGGATCTGTGTTGCCAGCCAAAGCTTCCCCTACAAGTTCTTAGCTAATATCTGGCTGAGCTTATGCCAATGTGAAGGATGTACACAGAGACGCCAACAGTCAAACAAGTAGTCAGTCCATGATCCAGGGTGGTAGAGCAATTAGTTGCTAGCAGCAATTCCTTATACAGCTCTACACAACTTTGAATTTCTTCATGAGCGATGATAATCCTAGTAGGATACTTCCGGGATGAGAGAAGCTCACGACTGCCCCATAATTCGTGATCACTTGCGAGGAGAACAGCTCTGACTCGCAGAAGTAATCTGTTACTGCCATTTCCAGCACTTTTCGGTTGGTTGTGGTCTTGATACGAGTTGGGACTATATTACTCTAGCTAGTGCAGAAATATGTGGAGTACTTAATACCTACAATGGTCAATGCATATGAGATTGCCTGACAACAGCTAGAAAAGGCCACTCAAAGAAAGAAGTGCTATGCAAGATGATAAAAGAATAAATATTCCAGTGTGAAAATTAGGTCTGGTTATAGTATATGGCAGTAGCACTGAGGCAACTTGGATATGACTGGACTGGTCCATATCTACTACTCCAACAAACTAGCCCATTAATGTACGCGTTATAGTAAATGGGAAGCGTACAAAAGCACATGGAACATATCAATAAGCTGCATCTACATGTTACAGAAAACCTCTTGTAAACTGACATGTACAGGAATATGAATGTAAGACCAACAAGTCAGAAGAGGATGAGGATGCCGTCTTTAGTCATACTAACTCACCAAACTCATCTGGTGGCCCATGATAAACAAATGAGGAATCACTGAAGCTAGAGACAAAAAACACCTCTGACCATTAGTCAGGCCACTGATTTCAATCTTCTAATCGATATACGTAGGATTAATCAATTATTAATAGTTAGAACAACCACTGATTAGTACAATCACTGACTGAAAGAAAGTGGCGTTCGTTAATCTCTTAGCCATCGAGTGGCACTGTAAGATACAATGTATGCATGACACTGTATGATCACCACTTGATCATCATTTCGTAGGACAGTTGAGAAGTTAACAACTGAGAGAACATTGCAACCCTTACTTTCTGAGCTTCAAGTGGTATGGGAAAATACATTGTATGCACTGCATTGTATGATTACCACTAAGTCATCAGCAACTAAGACAATCATTAGGCCGAGTAACCAATAATTAAATAGGAATAGCATTTATTGCCTTTTGAGATACTGGTTAGTGTTTTTTGGCAGAATGAACGGACAATGTATGAGAAGGTGTTGCAATCCTTGCTTTCCAAGGTCCCAAGTAGTGACGTGAAATAACGTGTATCGACAAAACCATATAGTTATTACTCGGTCATCATAAGCTATAATGGTCGAGTCATTGAAATATCAGTAACTGAAAGTGTTGCAGCCCTTGTTTTCCAAACCACTGAGTGAATTTTCTGAGTGTCTATTGGTTACTATTATCACTTACATAAGCATTCACTAACTACCAAATATTTTAGTGCCAAAATTAAAACATTCTCTTACTAGTATTAATGAAAAAAACAAGTGTACTGCATTTTCCAACTAGTTAACCTCATACTCATCAATTCTTAATGTTGAGACCAGATTCATGTCCTTGTTATTTAGTGTTGTGTTATTTGTATAATTGGCTCATTCATGTGATATAACATTCATGAATAACTTTATGTAATGTTTATATGTAAGACCACACACATATATATTTATAGATTGGCTTCAGCTCTCACGTGAATTACTTTCTAACTTTCCTGGGTTGCTCTCCAAAGTTGTGTATCAACACTAACAGTATTTACGTCAAAATCAACTCATTTTTATTTAAAACATTCCAAAATAAATAATCACTGGCAAAATTCAGATGAACTACGATTTTCAACTAAAAATCTAATTGGCCAGGATTACCATTCACGCTGTTACTATTGTATCTCAATACACACTCACAGAAAACACAACTGCTTTATTGCTTGTATAATCAGCATACTTCCCTGCTGTATAGATGAAAATCTAGTGAGTACAGGGTAGCTTGCACTGTAGGGTTCTCATCAATCAGCTAGATTATTAGAATGATCCTCTAAATACATCAGATGACATTTCATCAGTCGAGACTGCAATAAGTTCCTACACGCTCAAGCTGGCTCTGTTTAGGTGACGCCAATCATCACCTTTGACTGTTAGCCTTCTCCAATTCTATTTTCTTAAGGACTTTCTTTCAGTTACAAGTTTACTAGTAATTTTTGGCATGATTTATAAAGTTTTAACCAAGCACGTGTTACTTTCCCCTTCACCCAGTAAACTTTCAGCCTACATTTGCAAGCTCTAATACAGCATCTTTTAAATAAACAACACTAAGGAAAGATTCAGTAAAAGTGTGTGCTTATTAAAAATATTTCAATCCGAATAACTGAAAATAATTTATCACAGCCAAATAAAACACTTGATACACCAAATTTACATTTACTATAATATCTAAGCCATTGATAGTTTCATCTAACCGCGAATTTTGTAATTTGATCCAATCAAATTATTTTTGCACTACTATTTATGAGAAACGTCAGATTAAATCGCGTTATAAGGGACTCCAGTTAAAACTGTTTTATTTATTAGATGTAGTGTGTGTGTGAATTTCAATTGGTGAAAAGTTCAGCCAAGTGCATAGATTAAAGAGGGTAATAATACGTGATTACAACCATGAACTAAAATACCAGGTATTGTTGAAACGATATTTCGATTGGTTTCATGTGTATTATGTACTATATTTCCTGGTCAACACATATTCTGAAAACCAGAGGACTTTCTGATCCCCATGCTTTTACAGGTGCTGCCCTCTTTTGTTACCACTGAACAACTGGAACACACGCTATACTCTCTGTCCACCTTCATTATTCTTATTACCACATGATTTTCATATAGACAGCACCTGGTTCCAGTAAGAAGGAATGGGACCCAATCTGGAATTCCACAATTTAAGGTCAAATTTTAGCCATGGTCAGTCTAGCTCTCGACAAGCTAGTGGTTTATCTGCATTGTTTCTGAGCCAAAGTGTTCATAATGCCTTTTTATTTCTACTATGAATCCCTCATCATCTTACAAAGCAAGCTCCCGAGTTCCTCATTGATGCCCAGGACTTTCTCTTCATTGAGATTGTTGATGAAGTTGGTGGATCTAGGACTCCAGGAGCTGGACTTGATGTTTACCATGGCCAAACCCACGGAAAAAAATGTGTTTGCCAGGGGTCAAGCATTTTGCATTATATCATGTATGCGAAGAAGCATAAGTCTGTTAGACTTCTCTCTTCTAAAGCAGGTAGATAATACTTGTTTTAGGGTTTGATTTTATTGTTGTTGTTAATCCATTTGTTCTGTTTAATAATTTGATCTGCGTAGTGTATTAGACTATCCCCACCTAAAGGGGAGTAGGTAAGCTGTATTCAAGTTCCTTTTTATGTGTTACTGTATGACATCTCCACTTCAATTTAATGCAACGGCAAAGTTATTATCAATTATATTTCATAGTTAAAGGGTACTTTTGTCTAAGTGTACGGTATATGTGTATTGTATTTTTCATTGTTAAAGGGTATTCCTGTATTGTGTTCTTCATTAAAGGGTAGTTCTGTAATATGTTTATCTGTCTTTAAATATTTTTACTCTTTAAGAGTTTTTTCGTTGTATTTTTCTATTATTTGTCTAAAGATAATTTAACATATCATTATTACTATTGTGTACAAGGGTTTTGTCACTCTTACGACCTTTCATTTATTACATTAAGTACAGTATGCCTTTGAATTACTATAGTGATTGAAAATGTCATTTCTTTATTAATGTGTTTTCAAGGGTCCTTATTTCGTTTCATTATGTAGTTCTCTGTGTTAAAAGGTTTTTCTTTTAATTATTTCCAGATTATATTATATTTCAAATTATAACTGAAAGGTTTCTTTTTATTTCATAATCTATAATCTTGTATTTTAAATTATAATTAAATGATTTATTTTTGATATTTGAGTGTAGTTATTTATTCAAGATTGTGTCATCCATGTGGTGTGTAATTTTTCATAGAAACGAGGGAAAGTTAACATGCTTATTGGCCACGTCATAAGCTTAAAATTTATTGGTTTGAAAGTTACATTTGATTGTCAGCTTGAGGACAAGCCTGAAACAGAGACGGGGGAGGGGGTGATTTGCGGGCCATCATACATTTTTCACAATCTTTTATTAATATCAGAGTTTTAAAATGTTTTGTTTAGAGTGATTGTATGCAGTTTATAGCATGAACATGTAGTCCAGAAGACTGTTGAACTGTTTTGTTCTAGTTACTTTTGTTTCGTTGTTGATCTCTACCTGGTAGTATCAACTTTGTCTTCTGAGGTATTGCTGTAACTTTGCACATTATGTAGAATAGGTCATCGACAGCAATATCCTTCATTGGCCAAGTTGATAATATCTAGAGGTTACAGTCTTTGTTATGTTGTAAAAAAACTATCAACGGCGTGATAAGGAATCTTATTAAGCTTAAAATCGAGATTTCCTGCTTTGTAAGGAGTATTGGTTTTGGTCAGATTTCTACTTAGTTTCTTAATTGAGTCGATTAAACGGAGAGGCGTCTTGTGAGATTATAACTCTTGAATGATTCACAATTCTGGTAGAAAGGTGACTGTCCCGTATCTATACAAGTACTAACTATTTCCCTTTTCATTTGAAATAATGATTGTTTTACAACTTACATCATGTGTCCAGTCTATATATTTTTTACTTAAACTTAGTCATTTAATTAAATTCTGACTCACTTCATAATTATCCAACACGAATCTCCCATTATAAAGCAACTTGCCTAATACTCTTGTGGAAATCAGTTTAACCTGAAAATATCATATGCATACACCTTGCTATAACAAAATACTGAATTAGCTGTATACAATAATGAGTTAATTTGAAGTTCTGGTCCACGTAGGTAGCTTGCTTTGATAAGAAGCGAAGAATAGGTTCAAACTAATCCTCACAAAAGCTGCTAATTCCATTGTACACATATATATATATATATAATAGAATCATCAAAGAAGAACACAGGACATCGTACCTGGGCATAGTTTAGAAAGAACAGCTGATCATGAGTGAGATGAAGACCTGGTAGTAGTGGTTCCTTTCCATGTTTCTGTACCCACTTTTTGTATGCCTGAAATTATAATATATATAGTTGTATGCAAGGTCAAATGGTTGTGTGCGTGAAAACAATGATACGACAGGAGTTTGAGATACACATCTACAAAGACACAGTGATATTAAACAAAGTACTTTTTCATACCCTGTAGGATTGCTTTAGTCCGCCGTTATCTGCAATGTTTTCTCCTTGGGTCATTTTTCCATTTACCTGTAAAACATGGTAACAGTTACACTAACGAAGATACAACCCAAATCTTCAATATTTTAAAGAGGTATATGTTAAAACTTATCTAGAAGAACATGATCCAGTAAGCTGACATGATTCTTGAATTAAATTGAAACAATAATGAAAACAACGTAAAAACGGAATACTATTATTTCTGTTAATCGTTTGACTCCTCATATTACCGACTTGCTTATATAACCCTCACTACTTGTTGGGTCTACATATTGCATCATATTGAGTAATTTTATGTTTCTGCCTGTTACAACACTCAGTGCAAATAACTTACGAAACATATTTGATAAAATTAGTTATATTTTACGTAAAATACATGTCATTATAACAGCATTGAAGGTATTTTTGTTTACGTTTTATTATTGTGTGTCATATGTTACTAAAAACATAGACTCACAAGCTATTTCTTGCATAAACAGTTCAGAAAAAAGTGTTTAAAAAGCAGATGGAGGGAGGGGTCCATATCTGGTAATTCTAGGGCTAGCAGTTTATCCACTTAAGAAATTGGTCGTGACTTTAACAAAGTCAGACTTAAAATATATAAACAAAATGATTTAGTCTGAAATATTATAAATAATTAAGTCAGAAAAAAGTATAGAATAGCATTAGTCGGAAAATACTTCTCTCTATTTTTTATCTATTTTTACTTTTTATTTCATATTCTTTGAACTTGGATAGCTCTGTAAACATTGAACTTGGATAGCTCTGTCGTGAAACTTTATTTTTCCAATATCAATGAACATTTACTTTATTTGCTAGACTTACATTCAGACCTATATCCTCTAAAACGTAACTTGAGTAATAGTCAATGATGCACTGTGCACGTTCTCGAAATCTTTCAATTGTTCCATTGTCCCACCATTGTTTTAAGTTACCATCTTTGTCGAATTGGCGACCTATCAAGTAAAATAATTAATTAAACAAAATCAACTTGAATAGATGTCTAATAATTCTGATATTTTTTTTTTTGCTCACAATCTTTTATGGTAAACCTGTTTAAAGACTATAGAAAAGATGGAGGTTAAAAGCATTTTTTTTTTGACTTAACCACATAAGCACGTGTTGATGCCGGTTTCATTTCATTAGCATGTTCTAACATAGCAAAACCATAACGTATGGTTTCATCAAATACAGGGTTTGCGATTTTATTTAATGTTTTTCAGCGACCCGACTAGAAAATTTGTTCCAGTGTCAATAATATATAGTGGGATTATTTTGTGTCTAATTGAACTCTTATAGTCTGCAAACAGAATCAAAGATTTTTCAATTTATTATAATAAACTGCGGTTTTCATTATAACTAACAATTATCCTAGCTATTAAATATTAACAGGAGAGAAGTTTAAGATGGAGACTTCAGCTTAATCAAGGCTGGTTTTATTGTCTTAGAAAAAAATTTACAAAAACATAATTCTAAATATGACATAATTACAGTGATTATTAATTTTAATCCTTTTTAAAATAATGGATATTGTTTTCCTTCTTAACTATTATCCAATCTTACAGTATTTGTGTTTCTCATCAGATTTAATCTCGTGTTCAATGATCATACAGTCTTTAGTCTTATGATCAAACACATGAGGTGATGATGATAACAGGATCCTGGTGTTTTCATCAGTGACTAAAAGTTCTTACCTTTATCGTCAAAACCATGAGTAATCTCGTGACCGATGACCACACCAATTCCTCCGTAGTTCAGTGATCTAAAATTACAGTTAGTTTGTTAGTTGTTTGAATATCAAACATTTATATGCACTTCAATAATCAACAATCTTTGATCATATTGATTAATTGACTTGTTGGCTGTTAATTTTTCTTTAAAATTATATAAGCCTTAATGAACGAAGAAGAATGAAAAAAACCTAACATATTTCTTGGATCAAATTGAAACAATAATGAAAACAGCGTAAAAAAGGGAATAACATTACATTTTGTTCTTCATCTTTATTAACCCTCAAATTTCCAACTTGTTTTTACTTTTCTGTTGTTTGATGAATTTCGCGCAAAGTTAATAAAGAGTTATCTACGCTAGGCGTCCCATATTTTGATGTGATAAACAAGAGGAAAGGCGTTAGTCAACACCACCCACCGCCAACTCTTGGGCTTCTCTTTATCAACAAATAGTGGGATTGACCGTTACATTATAGTGCCACCCAAGGCTGAAAGAACGAGTATGTTCGGTGGTGAGTTTCGATCCCGTGACCAGCAGATTGCGAGTGTAGCATCCTAACAACCAGGTTATGCCGTATAGACTTATTTCTATAGTCTTAACTAGTAATAGAAGTATTACTTGACTCAGGACACGATGTTATTCAATTATTTAGCTGTTCTAACACTTTTTAAGTACATTTTCTTCTATTCGTTGGTAAAAGAGTAGCCCAAGAGTTGGTGGTGGGTGGTGATGACTAGCTGCCTTTCCTCTAGTCTTACACTGCTAAATTAGAGACGGCTAGCGCAGATAGCCCTCGTGTAGCTTTGCGCGAAATTAAAAACAAACAATCAAACATTTTTCTTCAGATTTTCTGCAATTCTAGTCTTTGTATTTTGGATTAATGTAGCGCGTTTAAAGAAAGAAATGTCACAACTTTAAACCTAACATTTTTTCTACCTAACTAACGTAGAACGCACTTTGCAAAAATGATGTTCCAAGTCCCTCGCTGCCCTTGTTACTGCTGTTTCTACTGTAGATTTACTTAATGTGATAGTCATGAGTAGGTTTATTGCGCGATACCGATAGTTTCATTGTACCAAGTTTCTGCAGAAGATGACGAGGATCAGTTTTAGAGAGCAAATCTTCCACTATACGTGAGCGTCGATTTCCCAAGTCACGTTAAATCAGATCAAAGGCACCAAAGTCCCACTGCGGTTGCATCTGGAGATTTAATAGATATGTAGTCGAATGGATTTGCTGTGAATACAGTTTCTTTGAATATATTTCTCGTGAAAAAACGCATTGACTTCAACATCAAAGCCTTGTTTATTACTTTGTTAACGATGGCAACATTTAATTTTAGAATAAATCTCACTATTTTCACATTTCGTTTTCTTTCTCATATATTTCTATACAACTTGTGTAGAAATAAGTGCATAGTGTTGCTATTAATTGATATGGGTCGTCTGAGTATTCATGTTTGGTCAACCTTACTTTACTTGAACGATTTGTGTGTGAAAATACAGTGGCGGTAACTTTAAGTTCAGGCCATGGCGTCGACACGTTTGATATCTATATATTTAGTTCAAAGCCAATTCCCGACTACTCAACAGTGCAATACCTCAAGGGATTTCTTATGATAGACATTCCGAAAAGAAATATTTATATAGCGACATTGTTAACCAATGTAGGGCCAAATGACAAAATATTTTGAAATAAAGGAACCTTCAATATTATTCATGGTAGCAAGAAAATTCGCACAGAGGAGTGTTTGAGGCAAAAAACTGATTACAAAAATCACACATCAACCCAATTCGCAAAGTATAAGTTATATGTTCAAAAAAGAAAATCCCGATCCAAAAAAGCCATTGCAATGAAGCAACGGGGTTTTTTCAGGTAGTTAACATTAATTTACGTCAATTCTCAATAACAGCAGTAACTGAGGATGAAGGGGATTGTTAACCACCCATTAAAATGCTCTTTGTTCCAGACTACCATTCCACAAAATTTGGTTGAGCTTGGACCATCAACTTAGGAGTAGTTAGATAACGGACAGACAAATAAACAGATGTACAGATTTTTTGTGCTTTATATATTCATATTGATCTTGTGGCAATTGTTTCTAAATACCTAACTGTTTGACAAAAAAGAGCAGTTTTACAGGGGTTATTATTTTTCTTCTTTTTTATAGAGGGTGAAAATACTATATGACATCTGTCGAAAACATAACAAGCATTTAATGAAATACTGGTAACAGATTTGTATTACACATTTGACCTGCTAGCTCTGAGATATATAAGACGTTTGTGTGCCTTCCCCCCAAATTGTGTGTATGTTGTGTTATACAGAATTTAATTACGCCTTTTTTGTGTGTGTGTACGGACGTGGCACCATCTATGAATGCCCCAAATATCTTAAACTTAAAGAGTTTTTACTGGAATATTTCACTCATTTTTATCCTTAGAAATTACTGAAGATGGTTTGATACCCTTTCTTACTTACTTTGGAAAAAAGTGACTGTAAAATGATGGCTGAAGGATACCAGCTGGAAAAACAATAGTGTTTTTATTCGGATTGTAAAAAGCATTCACAACTGCCGGCCCTGTCGTCCACCTGCAGAGAGTGAAATGTTAATTAATTTAATATATTGTGTGGTATTTTAAAATTAAATTATTGAAAATACACAGACATTTCTGATATGTAGCATAAAGATTCAAAGAAGACAAATAATACTAAAAACACAGACGTTTAGAAAGATCTCGATTTACCTAAAATTGCCATATGGCTTATACTTGCCACTATAGGATTAATGTAAAAATATCTTAACCTGATTTACATAACAATTCTAAATTTGCACAGATCGCTTACGCATTAAAATCCTATTTAGAAATTAAACTACGGTTTGTTTATGCACATGTGAATATTCTGTAGTGTCTTAAATGTGATGGGGATTACGGTATTGGTACTACCATAGGTTAAGGAGAGTTAAAATTAACTGCTTTTACAAACAGTGAGAAGGTGAGCACTTTGATTAAATAGGTTTTCAGTTATATGGCTTCGTTTATGAGTAGATCGCAGTTATCACCATGACATCAAGAAGGAAAGGGGTGGTCAACAGCTCCGAAATCTGAAATAGGGTGATCAATTTGTATAATTAAAATATTCCTCTATTTATTTATAATTTATTTTCTGTCTGCGATTGTCGTTTGTTTGGTTGTTTCAACACAAAGCCGCACAAAGGGATATCTGCGCTCTGTCCACCGCGAGGAATCGAATCCAGAATTTAAGTCCTTAAGCTGACTCACGAGGAAAGTCTGAGATTCAATATTGTTTTTAGAGAAATGTTAATCTTGCCAGTAAATTGAATATTCGAAACAATTATTATGTCACGAATGTTATCGTTAAAACTTCCGTGTTTGTTAATTTAAAAAGTTTCGCCACCACACAATATGCCCAATTCTGTAACAATCTGTGAAACCTGTTTTTTTTATCCTCAATCGTTTCCTGATACAAATTAAACATGGATTATCTCCTGACGTAGAAAACTATTATTTTCATAAAAAATTAGATACCAACACAATATTTCAATACTTAAGAAGACCATCATGACAAAATTACCACTGTTTAAACTTGGTCGGGGGTTTGGGGCAAATTAAAATGATGCTATACAAATTATGAAGCCCCCAGTAGCACAGCGGTATATTTGCGAACTTACAACGCTAGAAACCCATTGTGTAACTTTGTGCTTAATTATAAAACAAACAAACAAAACAAATTATGAGTTTAAGAGTCAAGGGAAAGACTTGCAAATTGTTAAACGACCCCTTTAACCGCTACATAGTAGCTAATAGGACAATAATACTATTTGAAAACTAGTACATTTCGCGTCACATTAAAAACATGAATTATTTGAGACAAAGATGCCCGGAACTTACTTTCCATCGTTAAGTAAAAAGCTTAAAGATAACTTTATACTTACTTATCCTTGTTGACTGGTTGGCGAAGTTTAAGAAGATTTTTTGAAGCTTCAAAATTAAGGACGCTCAAAACATTAACGAGAAAAAGGTCTTCGTGAACAACCAACTGTGGAATGAAATGAAACATAATTAAATAGAACAACCACATCTTTCGAAATATCATTAATAAACTAAACTCTTTATCTTACAGAATTTACGATAACTGATAATTTTCTCTACCTCAGATCAGATTGGTTCCCCCTCCTCTCTTTCTTCTGTAGTTCTTTCGAGAAAGTAGAAACATCTCTTGGATAGTATCTCACAAGAAGCACAAAAGATTAATCAATCACTTGGAGTAACCGAAGACACAAATCGATTACCTTGTCCGCAATAACTATATCCTGGGTGAATGTACCAAGATTTGTTCGACTGAGGTAACCATAGCGATTCAAGGCTAAACTCAGCATACAGTTACCCGATCTCAGCAACAACAAAAGATTCGAACACTTCGCACGTGATAGGATACATGCAGTAATTTGAGGTCGGTGAAATGAAAGAGACGGAACACTGTGTGAAGTTGAAATATAATTAAACACTTTATTCGTCGGAAAGAAACAGAAGAGAGGTCGATCGTACAGGTAGAGGACTATTGCATTAAGTTTAAAATAAAAATAAACTATATCTAAGGATTAAATAGGTGATGCACGCAATCAACAAACGTAACAAGTAAAAAAGTTAAAAAGCGGAAGAAACTTCACCAGAAAGCCCTAACGCTTCCAAGTCAGAGACCGCGTTTATAGTTCTCTCTGTATAGCTGACTGATAAAAAAATTTGATCATTATGTTACATGGAAGTATCTACCGTTCCATGTAACAAGTGCAAAGCAGTCGTCCGTATACAGGGTAAAGTTGGATGCAATAAAAACTACCCAAGAAGCAGTGAAAGCTTCCTTGAACTAATCCTGCTACACAAAGTAATAATCACGCTGAATTTAACACATAACCTAACGGATTTATGATGATCCAAATTATCATTTATAAAAACTTAACTTTTTGTAGACATGAAATTTACACACGAATGCATGGCAGATATGATAACTGATAAAACTTCCAGATTAGCCGGCAATATATCACATGGCTATAGATAGAAACTGTGAGCTGTGATTAGCTGAGAGTATGTCATGTGGTTAAAGATAGGGAATGTGAGATTTGATTAGCCGGCAGTAGGTCACATGGCTATAGATAATAACTGCGAGCTTTGATTAGCTGACAGTACATCACGTGCCTATAGATAGGAACTGTGAAATTTA